GTACTGGAGCCGCCTCCCTGAAAATCTCACACACCGATAGCAGTTACTGCTGTGCAGCTGAGGGGTCAGCCACACGACCGCTAAAAAGAATAAGGTTAGTGTCTCCATCTACGAAGCGCAGCTGGAAGATGAATGGCTTGTCCACTGTAACATGAATTGGGGTCTTGGGCATGGGCATTGCGCGCAGCATCATGATCATTGCCGAAGCAGCAGTTGCTTCCGTGCCCTCCTCATTGACGTCGATGTCGGCCTGATGGACAAAAGAAGAAACGAAGAGGTCACGGTCTCCAGTGATGCCTGTGAAGTCGGCCTTAGCCATGTCGAACATGTTAGATGCCCCCAGTCTGCCGAAGATCTCGGTGAGGTCAACTTTGTTGTCGTCTGCGGACAACTTGAATTTCGGCAGAGTCAAGAACATCTCCTCCTCGAACGACCTGTCCATGGCAGAAGCCTCCATGTCTGCAAATGTCGTCTCCAGCAGCTGCGGGTCGTCGATCATAGACTTCTCAAAGCTCGCCAAGTCGTCAGGCATGACGATGTACAGGCGAATACGAGGGTCTGTGTAAGGCAAACCTATTGCCAAGCCTTCCTTCTTCATAGACACCAGAAGAGGAGCCTTGTCCAGCTTCCCTTTCATGAACTTGACTTGCTTAGGACCAGAAGGAGTGAAAAAGACGCCCTCGGTGGTGGCAGCATCTTGGAACTGAGTGAGCCAAGGAGCTTTGAAGTACAGTGCGTTGATTAGAACAAGGCGAGTCTGAGCCCCCAGAGCTGAAGGGCTCAAGAGGTTCTTAATGTGATCGCGTGTTGTGGTAGCAACAAACTGGTTAATCTTGTCGGCTGCTGCTGCGGCGTCCGCGAAATCGATAGTCTCTGCACTATTCTTTTCCTTCTCCAGTTCCTTCTTGAACTTTTTGAACTGCTTGTTTTTTTCCAGTCCAGGGTGCACGTACAGGCGGTTAGCAACCTCGAGAGCAACAGCACCTTCTTTCTGCGGTGGCTGGATCAGCTCCGGGATGCTAAAGCTTTCCTGGGGAGCAACGAGTGCATCCATTTGTTCCCGCGTTTCCCCCGCAGCACCTTTTTGTGCAGCATGAAAAACGCTGAAAATGCTGTAAGGGGAAAAGACGAAATTCGGTTTCGCCTCCACGCTCGGTCCAGCGATTTCGCCGTACAGGCGCTCCGCTGTCACGGTGGAAGGGTCCATTGCGCTGGCTGTGGAACTGAGCGATAATGCAATTGCTACAGCTGCAGCTGAGCAGATTCTGTTTAGTTTACTTAGTAATGCCATTTTGGGCTAACTGCGTCCGTATCAGCCGACGGCTGTTCGAAGGAGGAGAAGCACAGGCTGCCAAGCTCACCACCGGCTACCACACTGTATGACCAGATGTTCCGGCCCCGGAGATAGGAGAGAAAAACGGTTTGTAGGCGATATAAATGCGAAGTCTTGGGAAAAAATAGCCAAATGTGACCAAAAAAAAAGGAATGTATAGGTAT